CTTGTTGCCACACCGTAAAATGCAAGTTCTTGTCCTATTATTTATATTTCACGTTCTCTTTAAGTCACGATCTTCACAAGTCATGATCTTTAAAATATTTTATTTATTGAAGTTAATAAAGAGTGGATAAATGTTATGATGCTTGTTAACCAAAAATTTTAACTGTTATATATTAATATGAATTTTGATTTGAAAATTTAGACAAAATTCATAGCCTTTCAGAGACTACCAAGCTCTTAAATATAGTTAAATGAAGAAGACAGGGATGTTACACGATTCTTTTGGAAAGATGATCCTGATGATAACAATGAAAGTTTGAAAACCTTTAGATTTACAATAGTTTTGTTTGGAGTAAAATCTAGTCCCTTTCTCCTAGCTGCTACTATTAAGCATCACCTTAAAAAATACTCAGAAATATATCCTCAAACAGTAGAACTCTTAAACAACTGCCTGTATGTTGATGACATTATTGGTGGTCAACAAAATTTAGAACAAGCCCTGAAAACAAGTTTAGAAATTGTGAACATTTTTAATGAAGCTAGCATGTCACTACTTAAATGGCATACTAATTCAAAACATCTCAAGGACATTTGGCATCGCAAAGGATTTTCGATGCTAGAATCTCCTGAAACTGTCCCGATCAAACTGTTAGGAATTAACTGGGATACGGATAATGATAATTTTTATTTTGACACTCAGCAAATTTCATTTCCTCATCAATCAACTCAAAACGTTTTCTGTTGCAAACCACAGGCCATATTTTTGATCCTGTCGGATTTTATGGCTCTTTCACTATAAGAATAAAGTGTCTGATTCAGGAATTCTGGTCTGCCAAAATTGATTGGGACGATGAACTGCCATCTGATCTTAGTTATAAATGGAAAGCCTGGCTCGAAGAAATTGAAGAACTGAACCACCTCAGAATTCCCCGCTACTATTTAGAGGGAATATTAGATGCAGATGTGAAACAAATAGAACTCCATAGCTTTTCTGATGCTAGTTTGAAAGCTTATGGATGCGTGGTATATCTAAGAATAATTTTGAACAATGGAACTTTTCAAACAGTTTTTGTTGCTTCCAAGAGTAGAGTTACACCTCTGAAATCACTTACACTTCCTAGATTGGAGCTTTTGGGTGCGCTTTTATCCGCTAGATTGAGTGATAAAATCGCAAAATGTTTAAAATACGAAGTAATCCCCTTCAACTGGACTATTATTGCCATGGGAAAGATAATCCCTCCAACTTCATATCACAAGGAACTACTATTGCTTATTTAAGAAATTGTTCACTTTGGTGGTTTGGACCAGAATGGTTACAGAACAAACGTATAGACTGGCCTGTTCAACCGAAGTTTGACGTGGGAAACGATAAAGAACTAGAGCGCTGTAGTAAGATAGCTGTTTATGATATTGTTGTGAAAAGAGATGATCAACTATTGGATATAACAAAATTCAGTAATGTGCTGAAATATCTCAGAATTGTGGCATGGATTAGACGTTTCATTGCTAAGGCAAGAAAACTGCTTGCTAGTAGTGGAACATCAAGTGCTTCTGAAATTCAGGACACTGAAATTTTTTGTGCTCGTAAAGCCCAGATGGATTTCTTCACACCTGAAATTAAGGCTCTTCAATCTAACAAGTCAATTTCACCGAGCTCAGCTTAACACTGTTTCTTGATGAAAATAAAATTCTTCGAATTAAGGAAAGATTAGAAGAAACCGAAATATTCAGTTGACAAGAAACATCCAGGTTTTTCTTCCTAAAGATTCCATAATTTACTGAATTGATTGTAAAAAGGGAACATAATAACGTTCTGCATGCGGGAGTTGCAGCAACTTTAGCCGAAAGAACGAACAGAAAATTTTGGATTTCCTAAAGGCCGTCAATTGGTAAAGAAAGTCTTAGGGAACTTGTTTAATTTATCGGAAAATATGCAGTAAAACAAGCGAACCAAATGACAGCTCAGTTACCTAAAGACCGGAATTGTTGAAACTTCCACCTTTTTATGTTACAGGCATGGATTTCACAGGTCCAGTTTACATCAAGTCTGGAAACGACATTCAGAAATCATACATCGTATTGTTTACATGCGCTGTTACACAAGCGTTGCATCTAGAGCTCATTTCCAATATGTCTGCAAACAAATTTATTTTGGCCCTCAGACGTTTCAGAGAAGAGGAAACTGTCGCACCTTTTATTCAGACAATGCGAAAACTTTCAAATATGCTGCCAAAGATTTACAGTATTTTTACAGCATAATTAAAGGTACAAACTTTCAAAATTTTCTAGCAAGTGAAAGCTTGACTTGGAAATTTATCGTCGAGCTTGCTCCATGGTGGGGAGCTTTTTATGAACGCCATGGTGGGGCTTATGAAAACTATAAAGGAACTGTTGAAAAAGATATTAGGCAGAGCTCAACTGAATTTTGAAGAATTTATGACTGTGTTGACAGAGGTCGAAAATATTGTGAATAGACGTCCTTTGACCTAGGTTTACAATGATTTACATGAACCTGAACCACTTGCGCCGGCTGATTTTCTATTGATCGGACATAAGAATGAATATCCATGCAACTTTGCTGAGATCCTGAATAGTTCTCCAACAAGAAAGAGTCTAATAAAATGAAAAGAATATCAGACAACATTTATAAAACAGTTCTGGAAAAAATGGAAAAATCAGTATCTTCTTGAGCTAAGAAATGCTCACTTCTTCGGTACACTAGAATCCAAGAAAAATCTTAAAATTGGTGATATAGTTTTACTTGAAGGAACAACTAAATCTAAGTTCCTCTGGGATTTAGGTCGAGTTCAAGTCTTTAAAAAATGTGATGGTTTTGTACGATCATGTGTAGTAAAAACTAAAAATGGGGACTTTAAGAGACCTGTGCAATTGATATACCCCCTTTAACTATCAGACTGGAAATGAACGAATTTTGTAACCTTTTAATTTTATTTCTTATCTTTCATGTTCACGAACATTAATTTTAGATAATTAGTTTAGTTATTACTAATAATTTACTGTTTGTAATTCGAATTAATATTTACGTATTGAGTAACATTTGAATTGATGCAGTTAACTATATTTGTTTATTTTATAGATTTCCTATTGCAGTTTATATTTACATCAATTGAATGTACTTGATATGTAAGTTGCTTTCTTACATTTTTATTATTTGTATGCTGAAATAGTGATAATTTTTACAAAAATTATCAGATGGGGAGTGTGGAAAAACCCCACAAATGATTTCTGTATCACCGTTAGAGGGCGCTTCGCTTCTGAGAAAGAATGTTGGTTTTTCAGTTTGCAACGTAGTTAGTAGTGAACCATCGATGCAATCCAGGTTGCTTTGTAAATAAAATGATTATTTTTTTAGATTGCTGAAGTATTGGCTTCAATTAGAATTAAACCAACCTTTCGCGGTAACAGGTTCATTATCCCATTCATTAATAAAATAAGCCTATTTTATCTATATCGAAAACTTGTTTTAGATTATAAACCTTATCTTCAAAGGAACATAACCCTTTCAAAAATTTAGGTTTGTATTTTTATTTTGCTTCTTTATCAGCAGAGCCAGCTTCTAACTGAAACTCAACAGTGTGCAAATTAAAACGATGCTTAAAGTTCTCAAGCCAAACATTGCTTGCTTGAAAGTAAATTTTCTTTGAAGATTGGCAGTCTTTATTTAAAATGAAAGAAAACAAATCTAAAGCTTTGTTTCAATAGCAGTATCAGCCACAACTCAGCTTTTTTTGTTTATTTTATTCTCAATCAAAGCTATTAACATTTTTTCCCATTGGGTAATTCTTTTTTAAATTTGAGCAACCTTTGCCGAAGAATCGCCTGAAGCTTTGACACTTGACCGAATCAGTTTTTTTTTTCATTCTCCCATATTACTGCTATGTTTGATTTATTTGCATCTAGTTCCTTTGCAAGTAATGAAGTACACGCATCATTATTCAGTTTATTTTAAATTTCAATTTTCTAAGATAATGTCAGAACTTTGCTTTTTTTTTTTTTTTTTTTTTTTTGCTTTATCATCTTTATTCTTTCTTTTAGATGTCATAGTGAATTTTTTAAATTAAAAAATATACAAATGCAAAAAGTGGAAGAGGATAAATATGTATGAATGTCTGATTACAAATAATGTCTGATAATGTGAGTGAAGAGACTTATGGGTTACTAGTGCCACATGTAAAAGATTTCTCTTAGGGAAAGTAAACCTTTTTGTATGCCTGAAGCTTGGTATAGGTTTATTGCTATCGCAAAGTGGCCAATGATGTGTAGCATATCATGATGTGTAATTGAAATTCTCATGTTGGGTAAATTAAATGGAGATATTTAAGATATTGTGGGCATGCAAAATCCATTTTGCAAGTCTGCATTCAGCAAGAGTATACTGTAAACTTCAAATTCACATGCATTGTTAGAGTATCAAAATATAAAATATTCAATTTTACATATTATTTTAATGCATCACTTGAATCATCGTACGTTCTGATGTATTATGAGAAGGTAGGAATGGGATAAGAAAAACTAAAGGCCACATTGCATTGAACTGTAACATTTTCTTTCTCATGCAATTTATTCAATATGCATATTAACTAATGGATAACTTTATGAAGTGACTGCAAGTAATATTCCTGTTCAATTATTTCTTGCAGTTATTTTATCAAGTCTCATAAGCTAATATGCATTTTAAGACAATGGAAGAGGTCCAATTAGTTAAAAATTTCTCTGAAAAAGTTTCTCTGAGTGTGGGTATTTATCAGCAGTCAAACAGATGGTTTTAAACATTTTAATGGCATTTAATTTTTTATGAATAAATAAATATTGAATTTTTTGAAGAAAGCAAATCAAAAATTCACTGAATTTTAGAAAATTAGGTACAATTTAATTAAAATTAGGTACATTTCTGCTAAACACATGTAAATTCATTAAGCTTTTAAAATGTTTATCCAGCATACAATAATTCATATATAACTTGCATATTTCTCCCTCAGATATTTGAAAATAAAGGAGAAATTATGGGCTGTTCAAATCCTCATCCCCACTGTCAGGTATGAATTTATTTATTAAATGAAAATTAAAAGAAACTTGCTGAATTTTCATGCATTGATATGTTACTAATTTGTACTATTAAAATTGTTCTCATTTCCATGTAAAAATTGCTCTTTCTAAAATGTGATGCTCATTTCTTGCTGGGACCATGATTTATTTATTGGTTAAAATTTTGATTTTTTTTTTTTTTTTTTGGTAAAATGCATAAAATTAAATTTCTACAAATAATAAAATTGATATTATTATAGTAGTTGCTCTTCAAGTGACATTATTAATTAGTTCTGGAATATTTAAAAATTAAAAGGTTAAGATTAAAATCCTTTGATTCAGGAATGAATGACTGACCTGGAGGGTCTTATGCATAAATTATATTTTGGGATCTACAAATAGTCAACAAATTTTGAATTTTTAGTATGTATGTTAATGGTGGGGGAGCACTCTAAAACTTAACTAGTTTTTTCCATGTTTCACTTTTCATAAAAGAGTCACTTTTGTGGTATATGTCAAAATATAATTATAGCAAAATTAATAAAGCCCTTTTTGAGTAGAATATACTGAAATACAATAAAAAGTATAGTAATGGATTTGTTGTGATTCAGATTGAAATTGTTAATAGGAATTAATTAATAGGAAGATCTGAAATTTAGATTTGCAGTGTAAATTTTTTAAATTATTTTTCAATAAACCTGAGCATATAGCAATGTAATAACAGTCTCTGTGGAGCAATTCTTTTGTAAGGGCATTTAGTTTTGAGTGATTGAACAGTTGCTTATGCCCTACTGCATAGCCCCCATCAATGCAATTGATTCATGTGGATTTTTAGTTAAGTCTCTTTGAAGTTTTGGGCATACATTAATGGCTTGTCATTGCTGGATGCAAAGATGCTCTTTTGCCGTGACAACATTTCCATGGACCCAGATATTGTTCAACACAGAACGGGATTTCCTGGGGTGATGGACCTATTATACACTTGATAGTGTGAAGTATTGTCTAACAGTACAATTGTTCGTCGTTTAAACATGTCTTTCAAAAATGCCATCTGAAAAGTAGAATGATAGTGCAGCAGCATTTATGAATATTGTGTCTTTAGGATGGTTTGGCTCTAAAATTGCGTCACGTTTTGTTTTCTCTCTTTGCTTTCGAGAAGTCTGCAATCATGGTAAGTGGGAAATTATTTATTTCAAGTGCATAATAGAGTTGGAGTTATGCAAATCAAAAATATTAGAATTTAGAAAGGAATTCCGTAACATTTTTTATTCTTTATTTGCACATTGTGAGGAAAAAGAGACTGATGAATTCATTAAGGAAACTGAAAATATAGTAGCTAGTTTTGAAATGTATATGAAAATTAAAAGAAAAATTTTGCTATCAGTTCTCAAAGCATAGTTGTTCAAATGAAAATGGTTCAAGTAAAAACAAAATTAATTCGGATTAAGTTGCCTAAATTGTCACTTCCTATATTAGTGGGAAAATCAAAGAATGGATTGAATCTGAGGATTTATTTTTTTCAGCTACATGAAAAACGTCAATTAACTTATACATAAAAATTGCAGTATTTAAGGAGTTCTTGTAAGGCAGATGCATTAAATATCATTCATCCCATTCCAATTTTTGATTCCAATAATCACAAACCATGGAATTTATTGGTTGGATACTATTCCAACAACAACAAAAAATTTAATCAATTCAATGAAGAAGTTAATTAGAAGCATTAGAGGAAAATTGTAGAAGAATTTTCTGATATGTTAATTGTTTATTTATTCGTTGAAAAGTTGGATAGACATACCCTTTGTTGATGGGAAAGATACTTCAGAGGATGAGATGGGAACAAAAGATGAGCTAGGAACAGTTAAACAACTGATATGTTTTTTGAAGGAATTTGTTCACAGTCTACAAACCTCCACAAAGGGAACCAAGGCTGTAGGGTTTCCCTTAGTTGGAATAAACAATTATTCTAATTTTTGTTGTCTTTTCTGAACTCCTCATTTCTCCTCGCATTTCATTGCCAGGATGCAAATTAAGTTAAAGTGAAGAAGAGTATTTATATGGGTGAAAAGAGAAAGTTAGATGGAGCGTGATTTTGCTAGTATAGTGCATGTTGCTATTTTGCCCTTCCTGCTGTTAATATTGGTTGCTGCTATGCCTTCTGGCCGTTTGTTAAAGTATATCGCCAGGTAGGTTGCTGAGTCAGCCTGTTAGCTTGAAGTGGTCCAGCACATTAAAATATTGTTAATTATTGCAACTGCCATTTAAATTATTGTTAACCCATTAACCACCAAAACTACAAGGAATTATTTTTTTCATGAAAATAATAACAAATATTAAATTAAGCATTTATAACATAAATTTACATTGAAAATGAAAAAAAAAAAAAAAAAAAAAAAAAAAAAATTCTTACCTGTGGAAAAAGCGAGTGTTGCATTCACACAACGTCAGCGAAATAAGACTACTGATGTTTAGTGAATAGGATTGTACTCGTGCGATGTTTACTTTGAGTGGAGCACTGGATTACCTTTTAGCTGTATAACGTTTTAAATCTACAAATCACTTTACTTGTCATATATTTAATATTAAAATGTACATTATATTTTTTTTACAAATACAGATTATTTCATTTGAAAGATTCAAGCATGAAAAGCTTCACTACAATCATGATGTAAATAATGTTGTATCTATGGCACTCTTTACTACGAAGTCTTTTGTTATCATCGGACTTCACGATAAAATGTCTACCATCTCCATGCAGTGGTTTTTGAATGCCGAATTTACTAGGTCTTCCTGTTGCTGATCTATTTCTGGCTAATTCTACACTCTCAGTAGGAGTTTGCAAAAGGAATAATGCAATCTCGCACCTGAAATTTAAAAGAGACTTTTTATTTCCAGTAGTATAAAGTCATGATATTTAGATATGGTCTCACCTTATATAATTTACCAGTATTGTCAGTTTGAATATTGTCAGCTAAATGCAAATTCTGCTTCATATGCAAATGTGATATGATTCCTGTACTGCAAACATGATATGGATTTTCATACAATAGGAACAGAAATAAATGTCCTTATCAAGAGACCAATATATTTCTTCTTGAGGTAAAGAAGGATATCCTGTAAGCAATAATATTCCAATAAATCTTCCCATATAGGCTTCAGATGCAATAAAATTCTGGGAGATTTTCTTGCTGAGCGTATATATTTGTCTGTTCAATGAGAAGAGAGTAAATGTCTAAACCAAAATGAAAATCGAAAATCTCTCCACTAGTTTTACCTTGTACAGTCAAAAGTCTTTAATTCGGACGCCTCGGGACTTTGGCAGTTCCGGATTATCGGTTTTTTCAGATTATAGATCATCAATTTAAATCTGGTAAGATGGCATGCAGAAATTATAAAATTAAAAATATGAAACCATAACTTATGAAATAAAGAGCAATTATGATCTAAAGGGTATCAAAATTTACTTTAAAAAAAAAGGCTTGATATTTATTTGTTTACTTTATTAAACATTTCTTTCAACGCGCGCATGCGTAAAGCATACATTACACATAGTCGAAATTAGAAAATTGCAACCAGAAAACTATTTGATGGGTATTCGTGATATTTATAATGACGAGGAATTTGATTTAAATCATATCAAAGATGGAGTACATTGAGATGAAATACTACATTTACTAAGGAATTATAAACTGAATAAAATAAAAACATCCGCCCTGAAGATAAGGATAGTGCTGACAGATCAACTTCCAGTTCATTTCGAAGATAAGAAACAACGCAATCTGCATTAACTGAAATAGATAATTAGATAATTTTAGCTTAGCTTATACCGTCCATTATGTTGGCAGTGGTGATCAAGGCAAAGCATATTTTGCTTTCCTTAAATAAAGCTAAGACTAATCTAAATGAAATTCATGCTTTATTCCATAAATTAAAATAAAAGAGCTAACACTGTAGCCTTTACATTTAAAATCATTAAGTGAAAGAAAAACTAGCATAATGCTAACTGATAATCAAACAAGAGAACAAGAACATTCGCTGTTACCGGCGTACATATATATAATACTCGGCCAATCCGCTGATCTTGACGTCATCGGCCAATCAGCGGCAACCACGTTAGCTTACCACCGATCGACCTCCGCTCAAAGTTTGCATGTGGAAAACTAAAGCCAACAAACGGCCCTCTTTTCGTCATGCAAAGACAAAAACAAAACTTACACAGAAGTTCATTGTTCAATTCTATTATACGAAAACACTTGTTGTCTTTAAACACTGAAAACATCTAAACAAAACTTTCTTAAATTAACAGCAGTTGCTGCTTTTGTAAATAAGTCCGCAGTATTTAATTTACTGGTGATAAATTCAAGGTCAAACACTCCATCATTTACTAGTCTTCTAACAAAGTGATATTTTACGTCTATGTGCTTAGTTCGGCGATTTTCTATTGGCGATCTAGAAAAATCAATGGCAGACTTGTTGTCACAAAACAGTTTACACTCTCTTAAATTAAACTTTAAAATTTCATCTTGTAAGACATTTTTCGTCCACATTAATTCCTTCGCTGCTTCAGATAAGGCGATATACTCCTTCCATGGTTGATAAACGTACACACTTTTGTTTAACAGTTTTCCAGATTACCGGTACTTCATCAAAATATAATATAAATCCTCCCATGGACACGCGGTCATCTCTATTACTTGCATAATCAGCATCTGAATAACAATATAAATTTAGATGTGTAATCTTCGATAAGTTTAACTTATATAATTTAGTACTATTGAGATAACCAAGCAATTTCAATAATGCTTCCCAATGCCTAATTCCAGGATTCTCCTGAAATTGTGATAAGATATTCACTGCATATGTAATATCAGGCCTTGTCCTGTTAGCTACAAAAACTAAACATCCTAACAGATTTCTAAAGGGTAATGTATGCATTTCCGCAATTTCTGCACTTGTAGATGGACAATCTAATTTTGTAAGAATAGTGCCTTTAGCTATGGGAAGTGAAGTT